AATTTGGGTTTAGGTAGGTTTTCAAAAGCATCTATGGAACATTGACATTAAAAAATTTTATTTATTGTCTCATCGATTGATTAATCAAGATTCAAGCGGGTAAAATTCCATCCTTATAGGTGCGAAATTATCATAACCAAATTATATCAATGAACAAAAAAATACCATTAATCACCCATCACAGAAATTTCGACCTTTTAGCAGAATGTAATCCAATCTAACAAAAAGAACATAAACACGTACCTCTTCAGCAAATAATTGATAGAGTTGGGAGAACTCCTGTTCACTTTGTATCGTCGAGCCAAGACGTCCTTTTTCACCTAGATTTAAAAGTTCAATAAATTTACTATCCATAAAATAAAATAAGTTCGATAGTGTTCTTAAGGGCTAAGAATTTGTTCTTTTTTATGACATTCCAATGGATAGCTTCACTGTACCACCCATAATCAAACTGGTTTCTATCAAAGTAGCACTCTAGAAACCAAGAATCCATCTTTTTGATGTTCGAAACTTCTAAAAATAAATGAGATCTTTGAACAAGAAAACTCATTCCTTCTAGAGTGCATTTTTACCGTAATCACCTGAATCATCATCAATGGTGTACCTTAAATTGAGAAGGATAATAGTTTTTTTCTGAAATGAGAAATTTGCGCAACTAATGCGTGTCACTAAAATTTGAATACTGTAGATATGAATATCCAAATTTCCATCTTATACTCATCAAAGATTATTTATTCCTCTGTAATAAGGAAAAGTTTAAACAAGGTGCTTCATCAGCTATTTTATAGTCCCTTCAAGACTGTTGATAGATTTATAAACCTTCGTTATAATATGTAAATAAAGCATCTTATTTTTCGTCAAAGGGTAATTACTACCATAAGTCATAAATTTTTAAATAGACTGACTTTATAAAGAAGTAGATGAGAGAAATCAATCCTCCTTATTTTTCAACGTTAAATATAAAATTTTCGCTAAACATACCTTCACTAGGCACTTTGAGCTTAGCCATGTCGCCCGCTCGTTTCTGACCGCTGATGGAGGATTGCGGTGTGACCGGCATCAGGGCCGCTTTGATTGCGGCCGACCATGACTGGGCCGAATCCAGCGAGTTCTCTTCTGATGGGGAGCCAGCTAAATAGCTAGGATTAATTGAAATATTAGAAGCTCAAGATATTCTGGGATATAGAGAGCCAGCTACTTGAGACTCTCATACTATTTCAGATCACAACCGATTCGTTTTGTAGAAATCGGTATTTTTTCGAGAAAAATACCATTAACAATTTGGAATCAAACATTCAAATTTGTAAAAGACAATATCCTGTCTTTTCAAAAAAATAAATTTCCTTGACGATATTTATAAAAATTAGTGCACTTTGTAGCGCTTTAAGTCCTATACTTCTGCAAGGGTGAATTTATCGTTACAAATCACATATTTTTCCCTTGCAAAAATGTATTCACCTCGACTTGTCGACGGAGATTCCGCGGAATAATGATTTATGTTGTCGTTTGTCGCTGTTTTCCGCTTTGAGAAATGTATGAGCGGAAAATCGTAGGCGCACATGTAACCCGGTTCAAGTAGCATCATACTGAGAAATGGGAAGAATTCAACGGGGGTGCGAGAATGATGGAAATATTGAAGTGTTGCGAGACATTGACACGAATTCTATGAATTACCCTCATGAAATTTAGCTTCTAAAGAAGGTTTCGAAAGGAACTAAGAAGATTGAAGGTAACAAAGGTGGTCGCACTGATGAGATGCTCAAAGAACACAGTGAGTGTAAAAAGCCAAGGACAAATTCAAATGGCATTGTTCCGGTTTTCGAAATAAGGAAATGGCAACAAGGAAACAAGAAGAGGAAGTATAAAAGGAGAATGCTAGCAATATGAAAACTCTAACTGAGGCAACTGGTTAGAGGAAATGTACAAGATGAAAAACACATTCAGTACTTAGAGAAGATGAAAATTCGGAAATTCTATTGCTATGTAGTGAGCTAATATCACATAGAAATGCATGTGTTCTGAATCTTTACGTATTTTCTACACAACCAATTATTGGTCTAAAAGGGAAAAGGTAGAGAGACGGGAAATTATTACAGTGATAATTTAGTAACTATGAGATACTTGAGCTTAAATCACAGTATTTTAAATGAAGTACAAAATTATTACTACATTTGATTTTTACAATATCTGATAGATCGAATTCAAATTCACCGACTTACAAGAAAAATTACTGGTATTCAGAATTACGATGCAAATCCACCTATTTTCCTTCTGACATTACTCTCTAGAGGCGTCCAGTCTAGTCAAACTAAATTTAGTAAAAGTTGCATGTAGATGTGGGTACAGTTGTCCTTCGCACGCACAAAATATACTATAAAAAACAAAAAGATTAGCGTACCGTAAACAAAACTTGGTTTCTCAAAGCTCAATGCTCGAAGGTCAAACATCCAAACATTCCGGGTCATATTCCAAGATGGATTACACATGTATTTTTGACTCTACGATGTTTGATCAACGAAAAAAAATCAGATTAGGATAAGCTGCAAAAGTCTCCGTAACTAAACCAATAAAT